TCAGAAAAAATACCTACTTCTGTTTTATTGACTATTCTAAAGCCTTTGATTGCGTGGATCATAATCAATTGTGGCAAGTTCTTGGTGGTATGAGGACAGCAAGCCACCTTGTCTGACTCCTGAGGAATCTGTACAATAACCAAGTAGCAATAGTAAGAACAGATGACGGAACAACAGAATGGTTAAGATTGGGAAAGGAGTACAGCAGGGCTGTATACTCTCACCCAACCTATTCAACTTGTATGCAGAACACATTATGTGGCATACAGGGCTTGATGAATCCAAGACTGGAGTTAAAATTGCTGGAAGAAACATTAACAACCTTAGAAATGCAGATGATACCACTTTGATGGCTGAAAGTGAGGAGGGGCTAAGGAGGCTTCTAACCAAGGTGAAAGAAGAAAGTACAAAAACTGGTTAGCAGTTAAACATCAAAATTATAGCAACCGGACTGATTGATAACTGGCAAATAGAGGGAGAAAACATGGAGGCAGTGACAGACTTTGTATTTCTAGGTGCAAAGATAACTGCGGTCGCAGACTTCAGCCAGGAAATCAGAATACGTTTACTTCTTGGGAGGAGGACAATGACCAATCTCAATAAAATAGTGAAGAGTAGAGACATCACACTGGCAATGAAGACCTGCATAGTTGAAGCAATTGTATTCCCCATAGTAGCCTATAGATGTGAGAGCTGGATCATAAGGAAAGCTGAGCGAAGGAAGATAGATGCTTTTGAACCGTGGTGTTGGAGGAAAATTCTGAGAGTACCTTGGACCGCGAGAAGATCCAACCAGTCCATAATTCAGGAAATTAAGCCCGACTGCTCATTGGAGGGAGGGATATTAGAGGCAAAGATGAAGTACTTTAGCCATATAATGAGAAGACAGGAAAGCTTGGAGACGATAATTATGTTGGGGAAAATGGAAGGAAAAAGGAAGAGGGGCCGACCAAGGCAAGAGGGATGGATGGTATCCTTGAAGTGACTGGCTTGACTCTGAAGGAGCTGGGGGTGGCCACGGTCAACAGGGAGCTGTGGCTTGGGCTGGTCCATGAAGTCACGAAGAGTCGGAAGTGACTGAATGAATAAACAACAACAACAAAGTGTAATGTGATAATGCACAATGTTATTTTAAATCAAAACAGGTTTTCTCCATCTTTTGAATTCTGCATTTGCCTTGTTACAAAAGTTAGAAAACATTAAGATATGTTTCTTAATTGACAAATAAACACAATGCCAAAAGTATTTAGAATCCAAAGTTTATTTTAGGATGCATATAGCTTAAACTTCAAAACTGTGAAAATACAGGAGTTCAGGGGTAAACTGCTTCGAACCTCTTAAGTCTCGAGTTTATGCCGTTCTTAGATTTTAAAAACGAAAAAGGGGCTCATATATGAAGATGGGGAGAGCACGGATTCAAAAACGATTTATACAGAAAGGTTTAGTGCTAAACAGGCGTGGTCTCCTCTCATCCAAGACAGATTTACCTTGGAGAGGTATCCTTAGTTGGGAATGAAGACCACCCCAACTTTCTCTTTTTTGTGTAGCGAAAAGAAATATGCTTTCTCTCTGAGCCAGATTCAGTGTTCCTGGCCAAGTGTAGAAAACTTTTATAAAGACATGATATGAAGCTGAATTTCTGAGGAAATCTCAGGTCAATATAACCTCGAGCAGAGCCCTGCTTCAAAGAACGACGAGGACATTTAGTTACTTGACCTGAGCTTTCCATAGAAATTCAGTGGGGTTGAAACACACCTCCCCGGCTGTTTTCTTGTGAAGAGAAAAAAAATGACCAAAGCATTGTTTGTGTTTCAATTTGCTTAAGTGTTCCTGGGAAGCCAATTAAAACATTTATAGTCCACAAAACAACTACTTTCTTGAAAACATTTGTTTTTGTGGGGGGGGGGGGGGGGTAGAAGCACTAATTAAAATAAGTAAAATGTGTAGGGGTTTTTAAAGGTAGGTCTTTGTGTTTGCAAGCATGACAGAAGTACATCAAGTTGTACCTGGTATAGGGAAAGTGAATGTTATTCTGTTATTCTGCTCTTTTGGGTACTTTATTGCAGAAACCCACTATTCCACTATAACTGCACTATCATTGCTACATATTGGGTTGAGCACGTTTGATGTCACACCTCTCTTCAATCATACAATTGCATGAATTTGACTATTCATAGTCCAGCTATCATACTCTGTCATAGGTAAAGGTAAAGGTTGTCCCTGACATTAAGTCCAGTCGTGTCCGACTCTGGGGTGTGGTGCTCATCTCAATTTCTAAGCCGAAGAGCCAGCGTTGTCCGTAGACATCTCCAAGGTCATGTGGCCGGCATGACTGCATGGAATGCCGTAACCTTCCCACCAGAGCGGTACCTATTGATCTACTCACATTTGCATGTTTTCGAACTGCTAGGTTGGCAGAAGCTGGGGCTGACAGTGGAAGCTCACGCCGCTCCCCGGAATTGAACCTGCCATCTTTCAGTCAACAAGCTCAGCAGCTCAGTGCTTTAACCCACTGCGCCACCAGGGGCTCTACTTTGTCATACTCTTATAATTTTTATATATTTATTCAATCATACAATTGCATAGATTTGACTATTCATGGTCCAGCGATCATACTTTGTCATACTCTTATTATATATGTGTGTGTGTGCAATTTCACAATCTCAGCTCTCAAAAACAAACAAACAAAAATGGCAAATATAAACATAAAATAAAAGGAACATGGATAGTAAGTGAGAATTAGAGAGAGAGAAGTGGAAACTGAAACGGAAAGAGCCCATTGCACCAGGGAAGGTAACAAGATTACCACCAGCTATTGATGGGTCGTACCCATCAATACCCATCAATAGTGATGGAAGGGATAATCCCAGCCCTGCTGTGGTGGTGGTTCAGCTTCAGTGCCAGATTCTCAAACTAGAATGTGGGACCCTTCTGTGAAGGTTTTTTCGGGCTATATGGCCATGTTCTAGAGGCATTCTCTCCTGACGTTTTGCCTGCATCTATGGCAAGCATCCTCAAAGGTAGTGAGGTGACATGCAATTCAGTCAAGGAATTCATGACTGCAAGAACTCTATTAACTTCTGCCTAGAATATGGGGCATAGTTTTGGAGCTACAGAATCAATTCATCAGTGATTATGTAGAACCAGAAGAAGTGCAGCAAAGATTGTGCAGATGCTCTTGGAAAAGTCAACACATAAAATGGCTCCTGCCAAACCTCCAAAAAGATATGTGGTGGTGGTAGGGGACTCCCTGCTCAGGGCTATGAAAGAAGTGGTTTGCGAACTGACAAGATAAAATAACCTGGAGCAAAAACGCAAGATATAATAGAGGCTGACAAAGCTTGTCAAGCCCATAGACCATTACCCATTTCTTTTGGTTTTTAAGCAGAGGCTGGATGGCCATCTCTTGGAGGTGCTTTGATTGTGTGTTCCTGCATGGTAGGAGGTTGGCCTGGATGGCCCTTGTGATCTCTTCCAACTCTATGATTCAAAAACAGATTTTAAAATATATCAGACAAAGTTAAGGAAAGTGATTTTCAGATTCCAGCCTTAAGATACAGATGGGAAGAAGTGTAGCCAGCAAGGATGGCATGATGGGAGGAGAACTTGATAATGTTGATCATTTTTGCAGTTGTCACTATGTGAGAACCAAGTACAGGGAGAACTCAATTTGGGTTCAGGCGTTAGTTCTGCTCTGCATGGTCAACAACAGTTTAGTGAGACACAACTAAGTGGATAAAAATAAGCTAAAACTCTGTTTAATTACAGCTGAACATGGGATTGACACATATATTAGTCTGGATCAGGTTCTGACAAACCCAAACACTGATAAAAGAATAATGATCTTACTTTCACATCAATATGCCCATAGATACATCCTAATGCTGGATTTCTTTGGAATTGCACAAGATGTTCCAGCTGGGTGGAATCCCAGTATGGTCTTGCAGCCACTAGGGGAAGTGGGCAAAGTGTCCGTTCCTAGCCAGACAAGATGGGCTCAGTGCTACACTCCTGAAGCCCCAAAATCCAAGATTCCATAGCATTGAGCAATGTCCATACAAGTGGCATTCATTTCACAGTGTGGATGCACCCTTGGTTGATTTGACAAGCAGCTATATTGTGTGCCATGCCTACACTGTATTAGGTTTGCCAAGTGAATACATGCCAAAAATTCTTTAGTCTGTCTGGAGCACCTGGAAGTCAGTCAGTCAGTCAAAATTTTCTTAAAGTCTGGTGGATAATAAACTGTAATAAACATTGTTACTGTTGGTGGACAGAAAAAGAGATTTAAAGATGGGCTTAAAACCAATCTTAAAAATTGTGGCATAGACACAGAGCCCTGGCCCTTTAACACTCTAAGTGGAGGTCAGATGTGGCCAGCAGTGCTGCAGAATTCAAAGAGGCATAAATGGAGGGTGAAAGGGAGAAACGTGCCAAGAGGAAGGCATATCAAGCCAACCCTGACCAGGACCACCTTCCACCTGGAAACCAATGTCCTCACTGTGGGAGAAAATGTGGATCAAGAATAGGGCTCCAGAGCCATCTACGGACCCACCGCCAAGACACTACACTTGGAGGACAATCATCCTCGAGCTACGAGGGAAGAAGTATTACAGTCCAAAGCACAGTGGTAAAAGGTGCACAACTGCAAACATATTAATAAACTAATAGAACTAATTAGATCTGGAAGGGATGTTGGGGACCATTGCCTATGCTCCTTTTTTGTCTGCTACCTCATTATAAAAAATAACCCAAAAGAGGTAGTTTTCAACCCAACAATGATTTCAGGTTTGTGTATAATTCTTCAGCCTCTCCCCTTTACATTTTTCAACCTTTTTTCAAGAGAAAACCGCTGTCCTGAGTCTGACTCTTTCCAAAGAAAAGAGTATGATTTACACCCTCTGGGTGTAAATCATTGCTATTATTGGATGGCACAGTTTGGGCGTTTAGAGAGCCACCTTTTCAGAGCTGCATATAAGGTGCTCCCTGCTTACTTGTCTCACAATAGAAAGCAGCTGGAAAAATCACTAGAAGAACTTCCTCCAGATTTTTTGAAACCATGGCTCATGTTCCAGAGGAGAAATTGGTAAGAATGATCACTTTTTCTTAGCTCCTCAATTCCATCTCTGTGGAGTAGACAACATTTTGTCTGAAGAGATGGTGAAAGATATATTGAGTAAGGTGCTAATTTATCTTTGCTTCCACAGGTTCTAAAATGGGACTGAAAGGTGGGGTTGGAAGAATCTTTGTCTCAAATATCTGTGTGTTTTCTATATTAGTAAACCATTACAAATATTATTAATTATATAATGTATAAATAAAAATTACATAAACACAAACAACTAAACTGCAACTAAAATAATTAAACTATCCTATTATAATTCAACTAAAATTCAAAAGTACAGAAAACAAAACCCGGGGGGGGGGGGGGGATGCATTATTCCCAACTACTCACTTAATATAATAGTTGTAATTGCTCCTTTCCCATATTTCCTTTAATTTCATAATATGAGAAACATTTGTCCTTATTTTTGTTAAAGCACTATTGATCAAAGCTGAATACTGATAGCCATACTGATAATTCCTTCAATGTTTTCTCAAAAATACAATCATAAGTTGCAAATTTGTCTTAAAAGGTAGTTAATGGTTCTCCTTTAATCAAAGTGGCCAAGTCAAACAATTTCATCAAAAGAATATTCTTGAGACAGAATAGTCCTTCCTTTTCATCTCTGTGCATAAAGCAGTCTAGCAGCTAAAACAATGTATTGAACGATTCTTTCATGTTTCTGTCACATTGAAGTGTATATGTGTGTGTGTTTACTGTACAAGATTGAGGGTATCATGAATACATTGGCCAAGTATAGTGTTGTGTACACATTCATTACCCTTTTGGACCTTGACTCCTATCTTCTTTATAGTTCAATGATAAGATTACTTTAAAGCTACCATTAGTCAGAATTTTTGTTTGTTTGTAACATCTTGGTTTTGGAACTTAAAATTGCAGAGCTAGTATCTCTTTCATGCTGTGCATTAGCACCTAAAACAGCTTTGCCTTTACTTTTTTCTATCTATTAGAAGGTCCCTTATTGCACTGAATTACCAGATGGACTTGATCAAGGAAAACGTGTGAGGATCCGAGGTTCAGTGCCCAAGGATGGTAAAAGGTGGGCTTACTTATCACTTAGATCTATCAATCTATTTCTCTATCTCTCTATCTATGTAAATAAGGTATAGAATGGGTACTGTAGTAATGCATTATACTAAAGAATGATGGGAATATTTTTTTTCAAGAGAATCAAGAGAATTTTGTGACATGGTACACTATAGCAAAAAGTCCAGAAAATGTGGAATGTTTCATGAAAGAATTGGAATACAAATCCAAAGTAGAGGTAGGGAAGAAAAAAAAATTACAGTAAGAGAACTGATAGACAACAAAATCCAGGAACAATAAAATTTTATTTAAACTGCTTGTGGGGTTGAATGCACTTAAAACAAAATATGGTGGAGGCTTGTTAACAAACAAAGATGATATACCTATTAGGAAACTTGTTTACAATTGGCTTATAACTTCTGTATAGGAAGACAAAATGACTGCCTCATTTTCCCATCCTAATTTTACCAAAGAGATTTTTCAAAGACATTTCTTTCTCAGTGTGTTAAGTATATAGGTATTATTCCCTTTCTTCTATGGAACTATGGTAGCGTTCCCAGAACTAGACAATAGGGGTATGCGAAATTCTGGCAGTCGATTCAAGTTTCGGCCAAATTCAGCAATCCGTGGATATGAACCATTGAAATAAAATGCTGAAAGACCAAAACAGAACCAAACCAAAACAAAACACCTCCACCACTCCGGTATTCCGGGAAAAGTTTGTTAGGTTCATTTATATTTTGACAGTTTTTTCATAGTTGAATTAGCATCAGGGAGATGATTCCTCTGTTCTGTTTCTCTGGAAAAATTCCAGATGATACCTTGGTTTTTTTTTTAATGTCATTAGTAAAAACTTGTTTAAAATTCCCCAAATCAGTAGATTAGCTAAATATTCTGGCATTAGGGTGGCTTATAGTTGATAAAGTAACCTACAAGAATAGCAAGTTTCATCTTGATAGTCCTAAAATGACAGGGAAACAAGCCTCCTGAATGTTCCTGAACACAGTCAGCTGCATCATGTTTCTCAGCCAATCAGAGGGCTGGTTCTGTCCATTAACCTTATCCTCTTGTGGCATGTGCTGTTTTGGATTTCAAATCCCAGAAATTCCTGTTGTGGTTTTTTAAAATGTTATTGCTAAAAAATTATAGATTTCCCAAGAGTCAGTGGATGAGCAAAATGTCATGAAACTTGGCAGACTTGCAGTCACAAATGTGTCTTACAAGTGTCTCAAGTTCCATCCGGATAGCCATAAAAATGATGGAAAGACAAGCCTTGCAAGTTTCCTCATTGGTGCGAATGTATCGAATTTTCCTTAAACAAAAACGGAACTCCAGGTTTCTAATTACAAATTGAAATGCACCCTTGCCCCTCCGGATCTTCCGAATTTCCCCCAAAATGGAACAGGGGTCATCCAAAATTAAAAACAAAACAGATTTCTGCTGATTTGCACATCTTTACTAGACAACGAATCTCATCACACTAGAGAATGAATCCACTTTAAATCTGGTTTCTACCTCCTGCAGAATTCTGGGGTTTGTAGTTTAATGAGGCTTTTAAAGGCTCCTCCCTAAACTACAAACCCCAGAATTCTTCAGGAGGAAGCAACCGGATTTAAAGTGGATTCATTCTCTAGTGTGATGAAGTAGATAACAAGTATTTCGTAAAGCATAACTTCAGCATGGGTTCAATTATTGTATCTTTCATTGGACTGAAACCAGTTCATATCTTCAACCAATGGCAAAGCTCATGAGACTGAAGCAACCCACTATAAGGTACAAAAGGCTTAGATTTCTTATCTCACCATGAATCACAAAGCTTGAAGCCATGATGCGTATGTGCTGACCTCTTCCTTAATTTCTTTTAGTTGTTTCTAAACTTATAAAATGCAAATTAAGATTTAAAGGGCTGGAAATCCAATGTGCAGTATGGTTGCCAGAGTAAACATCAGAGCACCTTCTTTCTTTTAATGGCTGTGCAAAAGGAGTAGATTAGGCATGCCTAGCGAGCAATACCTATGGAAATTCCCTCTTCTGCATGACCATTGAAGACTAGTTTTCATTTGGGTAGCTCTCATTCTGAGTAGCACACTCAGTATTCACCAATCACTATTTTGTTTCTCTGTAAGCTTCGTTGTGAGTTTCCTGTGTGGTAAGGATGAAGACGCGGACGCTTTATTGTTTCTGATCAAGTTGGATGATTCAAGTGAGATGGCACTGAAAAGCTTCCTGAACAAAATCCTAAACAAGGAAGAAAAGTATAGCAATCTCCCTTTTGCTAAAGGGCAGGATTTTCAGCTGGAGTTTATCTTTGAAGAAGAAGGCTTCAAGGTATGAATAGTGTGAATGAAGAATGATATTCTGAGCTTTTATATGGTGGAGGGGCAGCTAACATTGTTACTTCCTCTATGCAGATTTTTTTTTTTTGGTCGTGTCAGGAGTGACTTCAGATACTGTCCTTGCAGACAGCCAATTCTCTCACACCAGAAGCGACTTGCAGTTTCTC